GTAGCTATCGTACGCCCCATTCTCATGTTCAAACTTGGAAAAGCGATCGTTTGAGTGCCAGCAGTGAACATGTTTGACCATAGGATCCGACACTAGGTCGGAACTAGCCGCCCCGACATCCAGATTGCCGTGCCCATCTCCTGATTTGGCGAAAGACGCTATATGATTGAGCGCTAGATGTCCACTGTACATAGTGACAACGCCCCAATGCCAATGAGGCCATCCAAGAATGCCTGCACAGCACTTCTCGTATTCCGAGTATTCCTCCGCAATAAGCCATCGTGCGGCAGCCACACTCAAACGGGCGGCGGCTCGAGCCAGCGTGAGCCTAGCAAACCAGGTACTGCCCACATTGCGGTGATTGAATTCATTTCGCAATCCGAGTGTCTTGGATACATATAATAAGTGGGCATCATTATTCTCTACACTATATCCGCCTAGACCCACAACGATGTTGACGTCACTCGGTAGTGTCCAGTTGTAGAAACCCGGCATCACGAAAACGTCAGTATCAGTGCGAAGAACTAGATCGTAGGCATAACCATCGTATTCAGCGAAGCTGAGAATGCTATTCATGTAGCCAGAATACCGAACAAGAGGGTCCTCTGGTTGGGAAGGTGACCGAGTCCGATCTTCGAGACGCGTGTAAGGGGCGATAACACACCGCGATGGCGTTGAGAAGTCATGTCGGACATCTCTCACGCAGCCGAGGCCGGCGGCGAGATCAGCCGCCCGTTCGTCGGTGAAAATGACAAGATCTGTGCGCAAGTGAGGAGGTTCTTCGGACAAAGCCAGAAGCCAGGAGAGGTAGAGGGCTCTCAGTTCGCGATTCCGTTTATCGCCACCATCGCGAGGTAAACAGATCATTACAGCTCGCACAGTGTTCGGGCTCGCTGTCACAGTGTTCAACGCCTCCATGACGGAGTCAACGTCAGCAGCAGCTCTCTTGATCTCGTCCTTGAGGTGAGCCTGACCTTGAGGAGTCTTCCAGTATGCTTCACTGCCAATGGTATCCCAAAGTGGGGTAGTTCCATTCTCGCTTGTGGATTCCACCAACGGTCGATTAACCTTTGAATGCTCTCCAAATCGGAGGAACGACTGCAGAGAGCCTCGACGTTGGGTAGATGGCGCAAGCCACATGCCAACTTGCACCCCCAAGGCGAGCAACAGAATCCCAGCCATTGCAGTGATGAGGACCGACATGGGGTCGCTGAGGATTAACTAAATGAGTCAGCGCTAAATCCGAGCTCAGCGTTAGTTAGGTCATATGGGGTTGCGTAGCCATTGAGAGAACCCCGCCACACACCGCCTTGTAGCGAGGCCAACACAGGATCTCGACCCCCCTCCCCCTCCATCTAGGAGCGACATGTACCATTCGGATTTTGGGTTTTACTCCGCCCGTCTCATCACAACGAGACGGCGAATCTCGAGAAGCATTGTACTGATTTGAGAACAATCAAGAATATGACAGAATTGCTCAATAGTTATACAAAGAGTTTCCATGTCAACCTACGACGAGTTACTTATTTATGCCTGGCTGGCAAAGTTCATATATCGATTAGCATGGCGAGCGCTGTTGCAAGAACAATTGAGTACTTCCATGTCTCCTGCTCTTGTTTACTAGTGGAACCCCGTCGCTACGCCTACTGATGACGAAAGTGACCATTACCACGATGAAGCCATAGGACAAAATCTTGATGATGCTAGCTATGCTACGTCTCCTCGACGTAAGAAGCATCGGTCCTCATGATTCATGTTCATTCCCATAGTGTGCGACCTAACACTTTTTGTGTTGTCAATGCTGTAATGTTGTTTCTGACGTCAACAATTTGTTTACAACTACGGTAGCAGGGAACAATTCGTTGCTATAAGTTTGTGTAATGTGGTACTATGCGGTTCACATCACAGTTCTATTCACCCTCGAGAATGTCTCGTCTTCTCCTTACCATCACGCTCGTTCTACATACTGTTGTTTTGACCAGTGCCACCTGTGATACTCTTGACGACTGCACCGTGTACTTGATGGACTCCTCCCCGAATAGATGTGCTGTCGAGTCCATAAGGTTCTGGTCTGATGGTACAAAACCTGATGCCGAAGATGTCTACCGCCTTGGCACAGCTACTCTTACCGGTAATTTCGGGAGTGAAACGGTACCTTACAAGTTCGCTAAGGGAGACAGTGGAATACTGGGAGTCTCCCTCACCTATCTTGATTCGAGCAAGAACGCCTTCAAGAGGATCAGAAAAATGCCAGGTTGCTTCCCCTTGATGACGAACGGGGTATTAGTGAAGGAGGGGTTACCTTTCGTTGACTATCACCCCTACGTGATGGACAAGAAAGGTAGAGCTAGTCTCAAGGTTCTCGTAACGAACTCAGATCGTACGGCCTACGAGACGTCCCTGGTGTACAACTCCACGAAGTACGACTCCACGAAGTACGGCTCCACGAAGTACGGCTCCACGAAGTACGACTCCACACGCAAGCTAATGAAGTTTGAAGACCGAATTCCAGACGTTCCCGCGAAAGCACGCTGCGCCGGCTTCAATGGAAAGGGTATGGTTGATTGCATTTTTGGCGGGGAGAACTTTAATTTATGGCAAATCGAGATGAACTTTGACGGTGAAGCAACTTTGTACACCAGATTTGGACCGATGTACCTTACATACAGTCTCTTCGGCCCGCGACCTCAGGGTGGCACGTTTATTACATTCAAAGGATGGAACCAAGAGGAGACCGAACATATAAGGGAAAAAATCGGTGGTCATATCTTCTTCGTTGCAAAACATTATGTGATTAAAGACGATTTTGATGATAAACCGATTTTGTTCATTTACGCGGATGTACCACATGTCACAAAGAATTTTGTGATGTACAAATATATACCACGCAGATAGATGCATCATGCTCGCAAAGGGAAGGTAGGCTAAATGAAGACGATCCTTAAACAAAAGCGAGGAAGTTTTTGACCTTGAAACTTGTATACGTAGGTACGATCATCACTCATGAAGGAGCCTTTCAATTTTATCATCCACTTCATTTTCATATGTCTATCTAAACGAGCAAAGCCCACGAGGCCAGAGAGACGTTGGCGGAGCTCATTTATGTTTTTGTAGCAGAAATCAATTTACGGCTGAATTGAATTCGCATTTTCAGGTGGATTTCATCCAGTCGAGAGAAGCGTGTTGTTCATTTATATATCACTGTGTGTTCGAAGCAAGTGCGAATGTTAGATGTCATTTGAGGCTGTTGATACCACAGTGTTGTTTTTGAGTATAGTTCGCATACATCCTCCTCCCTTCTTATGTACTGCACCTTTTGCCGTGCAATTTTCACAAATGAGCAAGCAAGAATGACAGTGTTACAAGCGAGTTTCACTTTGAAAATTCAAGTATGTCACAATTCGATTCTGTTACAATCAAGTTTGACCCTGACCCTGACCAGAAGGTGTAGATTCCTTCCTTGGTAGCCTACCAAAGCTATCAGTTGTAGCTCCGCTGATATAGTAGAATCGTACTTGACTCTTACAACTACATATTGTTGGAATTTGTGCTCTCCCGACTGCAGAACTCGATGCCATGATGGTCTCAATGAAGTAGAAAAACTCTGACTCTCACCATTTATCCTACTTGCAGCTATTTGCCGCTACGAAATCAACTAGCTGTCATGATGTACGCATAAACAAGTGAAAGAAAAAGCAACGCGTCACGGATTATGTGCGCGCGTGCGGACTATGGATCATCCTCAATCTCTCACACATATCATTTCCGATTTTCCTGATAGCCACATGAGCTCTACGAGGCATAGCCTTGGAATAAAACTAAAAGAACTAAATTTCGGCCCATTGCGTTATTGAGTAGTACAACATGTTCACACCTGTCTTGAGAGAGCTCTCGTGTACGTCAATTCGGAAGAGAAGGAGGAGTTCCTATTATGCTGCTTCTAGAGTCCTGTTAGCTATTCCAAGTAATTCTTCTACTCACACGATAAGAACGCTAGAATAACGGTCTGCGCCTCCTTCCATGACTACTGTGTAACTCAGGATATTCATGATGAGAAAAAATATCACGAAAGTCATGCTAGGGTGGTCTCACCCCCCCAACCACTTCCCATAGATATGCACATCATACGAGCCATTTCGGTTCCGTAGCTGCTAGTAACTCAGCAACCCGCGAAGGCGTCTCTCAAATCCTCAACCCTACAGTGCATACTATTCTGCCTCACTTTACGGGTATCTCACTGCCCCTCATATACTATCGCGCCTGTCACCGACGGAACCATTTCAAGTTAACCGTCAAAAATCACTCGAGCTCTCCTAGTGAGTCGGAGCCGCTCTTACAAATGCCATATCGACTATATAAGCCCGCTGCCACTACTTGCACATCACTACGTACCTAAACTGGCTCAGACTGAACAGTTACAAGCTTCTCAAGGAGCCTGGTCCGAATACAAGGTTGTCTCGTGACGGCGATGAGAGAAAAGACGCGCCATCGAGCATTCACATACCCTGTGTTTGGAGCGATGATCACATCTAGGCTGAAATCCGAAAAGCTTCTAAAGCCAGAGTGGCCAGCGAAGAGATCAAACTCCAACTTCCCAGACTGGAATTTCTAGTTTTGATAGTCCAATCGCTCTAGTCAGTACTACATTGTCTCTTATCAGCTCCTCATGAGCCTCTACACTCGACCACATCTACAACCGATATACCCCTAGGGTGAGGCTGTTATTCGACTGAAACTGGCCATGTTGATAAGAACTGAGGGGACGCAGCGAGGCCGCCGACAACACAAGCACTTCCTATGGCGGATCAATGGTAAAGAGTTACTTCGAAAGTTACACCTGCCTGTTCTACAAGGAATAGGAAACTGAAGCCGTTATAGCGTAATGCTTCGACGTGAAACCAACGAAGGTCATTGAGAGAAAAATGACCAAAAACCCGCCCAAGGCGGCAACGAACAATCTAATTCCTACCATGACAAAATGCAGAGCACCCCCAGTAGTGTTACACCGGCAGACACGTGAGCTCTTCCTCTTCTACACGGTTCGGATACTTCTCCTTCACTCCTTGCCCTACTGCATGGCTAGCCTCCCTCAGGAGGATAATACATAACAGAATAACCGGACATAGAGACACGTAGGTGAGGGCGGCGAGGTCGTATATGCCGTGACACATAGCTGCTACTGGCAATGACCACCTGCGGAAATCTGAGTCCGGGTCGATAGCAATACTAGTGCAGAATAAATGCACTAAAGGTGGGATAGTCAGCGCACCAAAGGCAACCCAGGAGGAGTTCGTGAGGAGAGTGTCGACTCGAGTGAGGTTTTCCCAAGCTGCGAAGGCGAGGGACGACCAGACGCCCAGTCTACGTACTGACGGCGGAGTACTCCTCGGTACACTGACCACTGCGAGGTACTTAACACACTCCTCTGCTGATCCCGCTCTGATGAAGGAGAATACAAGGAGGCCGAGCCGAGCTGTGTCGAAGAGTGCAGCAACTCTCTGGAGGAGGAAGGCCAGCCCGACGGTCATAGCAGCTACCCGCAGTTCCTGCACTGTGACGGGGGGTGATAAACAGAAGAGGAGTGCTAAGGGAAAGCCAGGGCGGATCACAGTAGAAGGTATAAGCTCCTGATGAGTACCCAGAAGACCTAGTAGAAGAGCCCAGAGGAGCGTCCGCACTGCGAAGTTGTGTAGTAGAAATCGAGGCGAAGCATAGACTGACATTACAAGAGGCTAACTGGTGGGGTCAATCTCGAGGAGCGATCGTGCCAAACACAACAGGGAGAGAATTAATGGAGTAAAGGGAGAACTGCGTTCCCCCCAGCATTGTTGTAATGTATCGGGCAATTATGATGTTAGCAGGATGGTCATCTGCTTCTTAGAAATGTTACACACTACATCATCGCCTTTAGAAGTAGTAGTAGATAGTAGCCTCATGATCATAATCATCTTCATCAACTTCACTTTAGGATTTATCCATATAGTAGTAGTACTCGACTTGAATAGTGACAGGGGTAGTAGGAGAAGGAAGATGGAGAGGAACAAGAGTAGCAATAACAAGTAGTACAGGAGGAATAAACTACTACGACCACCACAGTGGAGAACAGCGAACGACGGTACGTTGTAAGGGTGGTCTTATTCATGCCTCTAGTTACTGCTAATAGTACCGTGAAGGGTCGTGATTAATAGTCGAAGGCCCCCTTCCCAATAGAAAGATCATACAATAGGAGCTCATGTAGAGAGGTCAGCAGAGGAGGAACTGCTAGCCTCAGTACTCCTTTCCCAGTCGCTACTACTACCACCTCTGGTGCTCGATGATGATGATGATGATGATGATGATGATGACGACCCTGTGCCTCCACGTCTCCTGCCCGCCTTTTGAGGCATCGGAGGTTCCTCCATAGTGTCGAGCTCAAGGCAGGCCAGCACTCCGAAGGGTATTATTGATATCTCATCCCTTCCAGCTGGGCTGTTACTCCCAGGCCCCCCGCCCCCAGGGATTCTACTCCGGTGGTTGTTGAGGTCCTCTGGGATCCTCCGCATCACTTTATAGCAGCCGCCTCGTCTTGGGAAAGGATCATACGGAGGGGCACACTCCCGGAAGTAACATCCCTCCGTCCCCCTACTTATTCCTTTCGTGGAGACGGGGCCTTCTGCCTGCCTCCAAAGGGCTCGATCGTGAGCATCCAAATTTAGTAGAATTTGGTTACGGAGCCTCTCGGTCATCTTCACTCGATGGGAGAAGTCGCGACTGCTTGCCAGCATGGAAACGCTCGGCTGTTGTTGTTGTTGATGATGGTCGCAAAGGGGAGTCGCTGGTATGCAACCTCTAGAGGAGGAAGAGGCCAGGCAGTAGGGGGGAGGGGGAGGCGGTATGGGCACTCGATGCATGATAATGGTACGAATAAGGAAAACAAGTAGAAGCCAACTGAGAAGGAGAAGAGCACTACATCACATTCAAAAGGAGTCGGCGAGGGCATCATGTTGTCACAGAAGTTGAAGGAGAACTTTTGCGTCACGCGCCACGAAATTATCGTGACGCTCCGAGACACGAAGAACAGCATCATCGTCCCTCTACACTACTACTGCAGTCATGAAAGGTTAAAGAAATAAGCACCAGCGTTGTAGCTAGTTGCATTCAACCCATGCATCTCCCGTTGCGGTCAGAAAATGGGTATTGCTGTTTCCTGGGTTCCTCCGAAATTTGTGTGAAACTCTCGAAAATTGCATTTACTACTGTGACAGTGTATCGACGTGAAATTTGATACCATAAATTTGCAAAATGTGACGAAAATACTCTCCTGGAGTTATTAATATTGGCCGCGCACACTCCCCCCCTCACAGAACTCTCGCCTCCGAGAGAAGCTCTGGTGAGCTGGGCAGTTCTATCTAACTAGTACTCCTACAGAAAGTGATTTGGGACTCTTGCGTTACTACTTGCGAGTAATGGTAGCAAGATATTCTCACTCCAGTGACTTTGGCTAGCCTCCTCGGCCCATGCAGGGAGTCCTCGATGAACTTGAAATGCTCCCGGAAGGAACGAATTCTGGACTTTCAAAATGGCTAGGAACATATTTTCGGCCAGTTGTCGAGATTTTCCCCATTATAATCGCTCATTCGGAACATTTTTCCTAGTCTCGGCAGGATTGCGGGACGTTCATTGGGAACGTTATTTCTGAGAGCCGGATGATTCCCTGAGTCCATGTTGGACATTTCATGATTACCCATGACCGTCATGAGGCTCTCGAAGGCCACAGGCGTTTTCGTTTTGTCTTTTGATGTAAGAGAGCTGCAAACTCAGCAGATGATGCACGACGTATCTTGAGGTCGACTCTGCTAAGATACGTTTTAGGTCCGGATGCGGCGCTTTCAGGTTTCGAGGCTCCTCCCGAACGAGCAATACATTCGAGCTCATCCGGCGTTGCCGCATTTGATAGGCATATTAATTAAGCACGTCTTAGAGCGTCGTCCCCAGGACCCGCGGTACAGGAATTTTTCAACTCGATTTCAGGCTCGGTCGTTCTTCCTTAGAGAAGACCTGTATGGTGTAGTGAAAGCTGGCAGAGTGGTTACCTTTTTCAAAAAATTCGCGGCAAGTATTTTTTCGAAAGGTCTTTTTTCGAGATTGTGATTAGCTTCGTTACATGGCGGCTTGACGATTATCGTGTTGATAGTAGACTTCAATTTTCGGGGGAGCTCCGACGGGTATTTTTCCCACTCTTATGTTTGCTGCCCGAAAAGTGTCTCGGAGTCATCGGCGGAAGAGGCCTACAGAGGACGAGGTTGATGTGGAGGATTCTTCCACTGGGGAAAGCCTCTCCTTAGACGACCTCAAGTGAGCCTGCTGGAGTTACTATAAAAAGGATTTTCCATCAGGGAAATGCAGCGAGAGAGGTCCCGCACGAAAGGAGTTGCCGCGGATCGTCACGCTGAGGCAGAAGTGGAAGAGGTAGAATCGCAACCAGAAGAGAAGGACGAGGAGGAATGGGGGCTACTGAAACGTGACTTACTAGAGGAGAATGAGGATCGCTAGTGTATTGCTGCTTATTAGGAACGTTCCAGGACACTGGAGCTAGGCTTGGGACGGAGCAGGAGGTGGACAAGCATATGCAGCAGTGGGTGAACCAGAAGCTCGTCGCGATGGGGCACCATGTTGTGGTGGAGGGGGGAGACGGGGAGGCCAAGGGACCCCATGAGGGTAGTGGGGTGACACTTGCTCGATTATTCATCTCATCGTCATCGTGTTAGATGCGGCCGGGCCGGTGTCGCGAGTGGCGAAGGTATTTGGCACCATACCCGATCGGTTACAGCACGAATCGACTACTGAGAAGCGACTGATGGAGGAGGCCGACTCGAACTGGTCTTTGGGGTTGGTGGAAGTGGAGACTGACCGTTTGTAATGGGAGGGAAATGTTACTGTATAGCAGAGCACAATATAATCGTCGGTAGAAGAAGTGCGTTAAAACGTCCGAAAGGCAAACTTCTATGCATTCGCATTCTTACTACATCACATTCCGATAGAAGGGGTTTTTTGTAGGGAGGAGCTGCGGGCCATCGAGCGGGCAGAAGATGCTAAGATGCGTTTTCTTGAGGAAGCGTCAAGAAAGGGCAGTGCAGTGGGGGGACAGGTTCGTCTGAAGTGAAGAAGGAGTGGTACTCAATGTTGTATGTGTTAGAGCGTTGGAGTAGCTGTCAGAGGCAAGGACCGAGCGAAGGCAGCTGCTGATGTTGCGATGTCGGAAATAATAAAGCGACAGCGAACCCAGTGACTCGTGTGAAGGTGTTGCGTTGATCAAGTACTACTAGGGGAAGGGTGGTATGGTTTGGAGGGCTCCACGAGTAGCAATGCTATTCGCATAGTACCGGATGCTACTACATAGTCCTTTATTTCAGAAGGTATTATTCCGGCTCGATTGAGGATGATAGCTGAGAATGAGAAAAGTGGGGGAGAGGTTGACATCAAGGTTGTCTACTGTAGTGATGTGGTTTCCTGTTCATAAAGAAGGAGAGCATTGAAGGTGGCAGATCCCATGTACTACTACAACGATGTTTCTCTAGTTTTTGTTGTGTTTACCTCGAGTAGAGTGCCGGGATGGAATGTAACGGGATTCACTTGTGCAATTGATGTCGTATGGGTGTTCCTTCCAAAAACAGTTAATGTGTTATGGCAATCCAGACGCTTGGTCCCTACAATGCTGAGGATATAGCTCACTCGCCGGCCCTTATCTTCACTATTATATTCTTCACCCTCGCATTCGTGGGCTTCTCTCTTATGGCACTGCTTGCCCCAGCTGGCAGTCAATGGCGTAGCATTATCCTACCACAGTTGGCTTCGGGTGTGCTATATGTTCTTATGTGGTTTATATTCAACGGCTCCAACGTGTTTTCGGTGCTTCTACTCACTATACCGGCGGCTGGGCCTATCATAGCAGCGATCTACCTATCTGTCCTAGAGTGTGTCCATGCGAGGAAGAGAGCGAGAGAGCGGGCCTTGACACGATCGCGGATAGGATCAGAAGTGGTGAGTTGGGCTAGTGGGTAGTATGTATCGCTATCATGTGTGAGGTTGTTGGTTCGATTTTCGATTGCGTCATTTTTAGGTTGATGAAGAGGAGGCTAATCCTGAAACAGATGAGGCCACTCACAAGCCCCCTAAACTGCGGGTATGTTCCCGAGGGTTCTGCATGTCTATAAGCTTCGTCGCATCCGGTCGTAGCCATAGTACTTGTACATAGGGAGTACTTGTGCGTACTCGTAGTACTTATGTGTACTGTGGAGTACCTGACACTTGTGAGTACTTGTACATAGGGTCATAGAATAGTCCTGAGGTCCCTTGTAGGGGTATTATAAACTTCGAATAGGATTCATCGTACAAGTCTGGAATTTCGCACCTTATGTTTGAGTATCTTGCTGGAGGGAATGGATGTTATTGTTGTTATCTTCTCAGCTGAGATCAATGTCCACCGTTGGCAATTTCGGAGAGTCCTCGGTGCCTTTGAGCAATTTACCGAGAGGCACGACTCAGCGAT